TAATATTAATAACTTTTTTCCCTGTTGCCACTATAATGTCTCGCAGTACAAATGCGAATATATCAAAAGTTTGAAAACACAATAAGTTATGATGGTTTATTTCCCCGATGAGGCATCATGAAATCGCATAAGAATATAACAATCTTTTTTCGGACTCCGGAAAGGGTAATGTGTTAAGCACCAAGAGAACACACATCTACCAGTGAATACAATGGTTACTGTTTACTAATTATATTTCGTAATGATTAGTAATGTAAATGAAGAACCCTTTGTCTGAATATTTTAATAATTTGGAATACACGCTGTTAGACTTCCGCTTCCAAAATTGTCTAAACAAGCGATATTAGAACTCTGCTAGAAATAGAGTGGCATGAAAAGACTTGTTCAAGCTTTCTAAGGGAGAGTTGAAGAATGAAATCGAGTTGTGGAATAATCATTTGAAATCTACTTAATAGAGCGTTATAGTCCAAAATAAATGATATAGTTTATTGAACATAGGAGTTAGTACTGTCTCTACAAATCGGTAACAAATATATTCTAATGCAAAAATAAAACAAATGAAAATTACCACTCGTCTAATATCATGGGTGACAAATTACGCCTCTTGTGTAATAACGCCCTCTCTACGATGATAATTTTGCTTTAGACGCCCCCCATGACAGTTAATGCAAAAAACAAGGAATTATCAAAAAGGAGCGAAATCATTCAATTTATTTTGTTTCTTGCTTGTTGAAAAGGGGTTTGCTATGTTTGCGCATCGCACCTTTTCAATGTCGAAAGACTATCGATGATAACACAATGACCCTGAACGTGCGACATGAAAGAGCGACATGGAATTGTAGAAGGCCTAGACGTTTATATCAATTATAATACCATAATTAGCATACTGACAAAGAAAATTCTTTACGCAAACACTTTAGCCCGAACAGTCATTTTGCACGTTGAGGGATAGTTATTTTTAAAATCCGAATAAAAGTATCTCTGTGGTGAGGCAGTCAAATTTTGTGTGGTATTTTGCAAACACGTCGAACTGCTCAAGAAGGCACGTTGGTTTTGCGGCATCGTGTTTATTTGAAAAGCTTAAGTGTTTGTGTACGGAAGATGATTTCTGCTTGTGACCATCAATGAGTTTAAGCAGATGGCGTGTATCCCACATGTGGTATTGCTAATTACTCGAGACCCGAAACTCTTTCAGAGCCGTTGTCATCCGAATCCAGATAAAAAAAAATCCATTTTCACGGAACAAGTCCCTTTAATTTGGTAAACTATTTTTAAAACAACATTTAAAAGTTCCAACGAGACCCCGTTTTTGAGAAAAAAATTGCCGGGAAAGTTCAAATCGGCGTAAACCTTGAGGCCTGATGGAAATTATGGAAATTAGGGCATTTTCAAAACGCTGGTACGAAAAATTCACAACTAATCAACTGTATATCTTCTCTCTCTTTCTCTCTCTCTTTTTTCCCTTCAGTTTCAGGTGATGTGCAATAACATTCCATAATAAAAGGATGTGTCAGTGCACAAGAAACATCTCTGTCTTTTGTTTAATTTAAAGGTAGTTTAAGATAAATTGGAAGGCTCACACCTGTCTAAACAAGCATAGAGGAATAAGTATTTAAATACATTACGTTCGACTTTATAATTCTATTTGTATTAAAATGGGTATGATCAGTTAAATTCCTTTTTTTACCATTTTTGTCTATTGTGTTGATTACTGGAAGTTATAATTGCCAATCGAGTTCCTCTTTCAAACACAATATAATTTCGGAGAAGCGATTAAAAATACAAACAAACAAACACTAACCTACAAATTATTTTTCAGTGCAATAAGTGAATAACATCAGACAGAAATTTACTGCATATTTTGGGAGAGAAAGCATTAAAAGTTTATTAAACGGTTTGAACTTTCACGAAAAGTGAAGGGAAACTTCGAAAGCGACTCATCCTATCATCTTTTGAAGAAGGCACTGAAAATAGCGCCATACGACAGATACGACAGCTTCAGAGACATTCTCATTCAATGAATACACACACCGAAAAGGAACTCATCTTAGCATCGGATTTTAAATAAATGTAGGACTTAAATATAGGACTAATACCTCCACACAAGAACATTATTTTTCGTTATAATTCCGTTTGCAAGTTCTTTTTTTTTAATGAAATGACCCACCCTCCGCACCCTCCGCACCCTCCGCACCCTCCGCACCCTCCGCACCCTCCGCACCCTCCGCACCCTCCGCACCCTCCCCTCAATAATTAAAAAAAGGTGACCTATTGCAGGAGCGACCAGGGAGGGAAGCGTGATCCGTCCTCCTCCCTCCCCGAGGGTTGTCCAATACACCCGCACTTTAACGGTCCGTATAATCCATCCAACTGTTTGTTTCTTTTAATTTACTTTGTTCCTAAAAAGCCCCTTTGGGGAGGTAACAATAAATTATGTATGTGTGTGTACTATGTAATCCATGTTACGATCCGTACGGATCGTATGGACTGAAAAATGGCATACAGTTCCTAAAGGGCCGTTTACGGTCCGTAACCTGCATCTCCTTAGTGGGGCAAGAGAGGGTATACACGGTTTTTCGATCCGTACCTACGGTAAGGATCGCAAACTGGTATGTTTACGGTCCGTAAATTGCATCTCGTTTACTTAGTGGGACCATACACTAGACAGTAATTTCAGGTTTCTCAAAATGTTTTTCTCAGTTCTTTTATAACGGCTGGTTTTTGGTTGCTTTACTTTCAGACTGTGCAGATTTGCTGTTTTTAGATGTCTTACTTTTCAGGTCCTGTCGCAGTGACAAACTTCCCTTCTGTGGTTTTAAGTCCAGCTTTTCACGAATAATACTTTGCTTTGACTTAAGAAACATAGTTGGAACCCTTTTCAGCACCACCTCCCGCACTTCTATCGGGAATTTTCTCTGGCAAATGCCTTCCCAAGCTTCCCGTAGCCTGTTGCAACTTCAAGACATCCCTTACGTTAGAAGTGATTACGATTAAAACCAGAGAGCAATTCTTACGGATATTGCAGCCTTTGGTTGCGATCCTGGATATAGGAGCACCCAACGAGAATATAGTTCAAAACCACATTAAACATAGATTGTTCAACGTATTTTTATTAGTACTTAAACGGTAGATATAGGCATATTTTCATCCCCTAAAAATTCTTCATCTGTTCGGATTTCCTAGCTGAACGTTTAGTGATCCGAAAATTATAGGGATCAAAACTTACCTTTTCGAAAATTTCAGCCAGAAAAAAGGCTCCCGAAAATTCTAGGTGATCTTTTTAGGGTGAAAATCCGTTAAAATGGGCAATTATACCATTTTTCAGATGTTCGAAAATCCCAGGAGAGGCAGGCAAGCAAGAAATTTTACAACAGATGTTCCGAAAATTCTAGATCTCAAACAATCTTCCGAACAGATATTTTCCGAAAATTGACGTTGGGTGCCCCTGTGGATAGCACTGATTCCAGTTCGTTCCGCTCAATGCACTTGGAACGAGGAATATTACATTTGAAGAGCGCTTGTTTTGGTATATGGCCTATAGAAAGATGAGTATTACATGTGAAACACGCTATTTTGGAATATGGCTTATAGAACGAGGAATATTACATTTGAATCGCGCTTCTTGTAGTTTATGGCTTATACAACGAGGAGTGTTACATTTGAAGTGCGGTTGTTTTGGTATATGGCCTATAGAACGAGGAATATTACATGTGAAGCACGCTTTTTTGGTATATGGCTTATAGAACGAGGAATATTACATTATTTTGAAACGAGCTTCTTGTGGTTTATGACTTATAGAACGATGAAAGTCACATTTAAAGCGTTCTTGTTTTGGTATATGGCTTATAGAACGGGGAATAGTTAGAAACGCGCTTGTTTTGGTATATGGCTTATACAGAAGGAAGAATAGTTAGAAGCGAGCTTCTAGTGATTTATAGCTTATAGAACGAGGAATGTGTTTGAGCCGCGCTTGTTTTGGTATTTGGCTTATAGAACAAGGAACATTACTGTTGAAGCGTGCTTGTTTCGCTTTATGGCATATAACAAGGAATTATTTACGATCCGTATCAATCAAGCATATGGACCGTACGAACCGTAACACACTGTGCAGCGCCGTAGCTAGTATGAGGCCAACCGAGGCACTCGCCTCGGTAAAATTTTGACGAATTTCGCCGATCATTTTTATTTTACATAAGCGATCATCGGATATTTTTAACGCATCATGATATTACAAAGAATTCAGCAATTCAGTCAATATACTATGAAAAAATTACCATATCATCGATCTCAAGGAGCTACGTACGTTAACTCAATTTTTTTTTGAACAAATACTGATCAAAACCATTGGCGAGGTTAACGGTCACCCAGATTATGTAGCTTGTTTCTGATTATTGCTTTTTAAATTCCACTTAAATTAACTCGAAAAAAAGTTACCGAAAGGCCCAGAAAACGCTGCAAATCGCATTTCCGAGAGACTAAAGTTCAAAATTTCTCGGGGGGGCATGCCCCCGAACCCCCCTAGCAACTCCCGCCTGCCTCGGTTGGCCGTTTGGTCTGGCTACGGCACTGCTGTGCCCTGATGTAATAACGAGATGCACGCCTCGTATGTGCTCAGAATACGAACTGTTAGCAATGCTGACGGTTTGTACGCAGCGTAAACTTTTTAGCTTAAGAATGGTCATTGATTCTAAAATAGAAATGCCCTCACGCTTTTACATTGCAACTCGGTTTCAGCTTTTCAATTTAGTGAAGGACAGTTGTTTCGCCCTCGGCTGAGAGAAAAACTGTCTCGCAGACAGCAAAATTAATGTCAAATAACGAAATGGACAAATGGCATTTGGGGTACATTAAGACCATGTTTAATCACGAATTACTATTTTTTGCTCTAAATCACATCTGTTCTAAATCGGGATTTCTTTTTTAAACAGCACTCAGTATTTGCTGTATATTGCATCATTTCTGTTTCTTTCTGCGCTTTTCAGCAAACCAGCTACTACATGTAGATCGAATAAATATTGGTACTAACTAAATTCTGCGATTTCAAAGTGGCCGTAATAACAGACTAAATTGCACCTCACCTAGTTCAATTACCATTATTAACGTCTTAAGTATCAATGTTGTAATTAAAAATTGTCCTGCCTCTCTACGTCTTTTTCTCAACAAAGGTCGGACATATGAGCATTTTTTCTATTGTACACAGGAGGCTAGAAAGTCTTTATGAACCGAGAATTATCTGACCTTCTTTCCAGTAATACTTATTTTAAATAAACAGTTGTAAATTGGCCTTGCCTTTAGGGAAGGCTACAATAAATACATCATCGAGTTGAAGAACCCTTTTCTAACCTATGAAAAGCTATAAGTTTTACTGACTCGAGGGGAATCCGTGAATCCGTTGTGTTGACCCACACTGACAACAAAGTCACATCCGTTCTCTTTTAAACTGCTTGTATCTTTCTTTTTTGCTAGGAGTAAAGGATAATGACTTATTCTTTGATTTAAATAAATCTACAAGCTAGTGTCCCAGATATCATTGCGATTCCACAGTTCCTCCAATAGGTCTTTCACTTGACATGCGTCTGGTCTTACATCAGGATCTTGTTCAAAACACAAACGCATTACCTCTTGAAGCTAAAAAAAAGAATAGTATAAGTAAATTTTAAAAAATGAAAGAAAAACAATTGTTACTATAAACACCTAATAGATATTTACAGTATGGCTAACTAATGTAATAGTTAACGTTTGCCTATTGTTCTCAACAACATTCTTAGTTTGTTAGCCTTTAGTGAAAACGTGTACTTCAAAGGCTACTGAATTATGCATAAAAGTAATGTACAGTGAAAAATAATCCTTGAATAAGCCCCCGGGGGAGGCTTATGTTTTGAGGGGGGGAGCTTGATAGAGAGGGGGACTTATTTGTCGGAGTGCATAGTTAGAATTACAAGTGGGGATTGGCTTTTATAAGAAGTCACACAAGGCTCTTCAGGAGTCAGTCCAGTGGACTTTAATCAAGGTTCTCAGCTGCCATACATATCATAATCAAGTGTGACGTGAGCTATATTTATGTCAATAATCGATCTATTGTTTGCATACGTAATATAACAGTTACCTCATCAAATTCATTAGAGTCGCGGCAATTCTTCACCAATTCACTCAGAACGCAACCGAACTGAAGTATATTCTTTCCCAAAATGTCCTTCACTGAGTGACCATTTAAACTACATTCAGGAAAATCCTGAGAGACCCGCTGAGCGAAGCCAAAACTTCCCAAGACAGCATTTATTGGAGGCACCTGATACAAAGTAAGGAGATATAAAAATATAAATATTTTTTTTACTATTTATTGATCTCCTGGACCTTGGGGACGTTTCGTGACGTGACTTGACTGTGTCACAGCCTACTTATGTCTTTCTGTTATAATTTATTGTCTGTCATCAGCCTCGTCCCTTGGCGTTCTCTCGCCCCGTTATCCGCGCAAAGTCTGGGAAAAAGCGGGCAGAAAACACTTTCTCAGCGAGTCTCTCTTGGTGACATTACAGCTCATGGTAGAGTCCAGGATTGATAGAGCCAAGAACGTCTAGGAACTAGGCTGGTCTGTCATATGGACCCAATACAAAAATGGCCGCTAGCCTCGCTTGAGATAATGGTTTCTTTTGAATTTTGTATACATGATCAGGCTAATTTTAATTTCAACAAAAGAATATTAATCCAGCAGCCGTTTTTGCATAGGTCTATTGGAAAAGTTGTAAAATCAACATAAAAATGCTAAAAGCTTAACGGTAAATAACAAAAAAATAAAAATTGTGCCAATTGCGCTAATTGTGCCAGCGAGGGTCCGAAGTCTCAAACGCCCCACAAGAGGTCGAACAGGTTGGACATTTTAAATTCCATATGCTTTACTTATCTCTAAATCTCTGAAGGAGTCTCTAATGGCATCTTTCTAACTGGATAACAAATTTACGATGGTTGGCACACAGAAAAACTGGCTGCAAAAAAGCGCGAAGTAAAGTACAAACTTACGCCTTCCCGGGTTCTTGAGTCGGTTACTAACAAAACCTAGCCCGCAGGTACCAAAATCTATGACGTTTCTAAGTCGATAAAGCTAGAGACGACACAGATGCTGCTACACTAATGCTTTTTCCTTACCCTTAATCCTCTACCAATCAATACACTGGAAGTTGTTATGTTGTTATGGACGACGCCTTTCTGTTCTAAGTGCTGTATTGCGGAAATCAAGTCCATGGCCACAACGATAAGGGAGTCCAGATTAAAAATAATCATGTTACTTTTGAAATACTCCTCCAAAGTCGTGTTTGCGGAAAAGTCGTAACACAATAAACTATATATAGCAGAAACAGGAAAAAATTGAAAGAAATGATAGATTGATTAATCGATTGATTAATATACATTTTTTAAGCCGGGTATTTCACTGAAAGTCAATTTCAAACCAGGCAGTTGTAAGGAAAAAATGAGCTCTTTGTTTTGAAATGGCATGTAAAATACACAATTAAAGGACAGCATAACAGTGGTATTTTACTCAAGAACACGAAAAAAGTCGAAATTTTGTTTAAGACCAACCCCTTTTTTAAGAGGCGTCTTTCTGACGTTTGCCATGATAATAAGGGCTTAACTCCACGTCACAATCAGATAACTTGGAGCTCAAAATCTCGTAAACGCTAAATCTCTTGAACACAATCATCTCCTATGAGAAATCTGACAGTTTAAAAGAAATGAATAGTTTCAGTTACAATGAACTTTTCTTGAATCTTGGAAATCCTGCTTTCTTGTAGTTCACCTCACACCTTTCGGCTGCAAAAAGTAACATAAAAATAAATAGTATTTTTCCCTACATGTACAATAAGCCATTCGGATTACAACTATGTACAAGTAATAAGTGTCATCAGAGCAGCCTAAGTATTGCCAAGGCCCGACACTTTGTGGGGTCCAAGAATGTGTAGGACCGAGCATTTCATAATGTGATACGCGGAACCAAAGGACGAATATTTCAGAAATTACTAACTTAGGCGTTAAGCTCGAAATTCGATCCTTACCCTAACTTAAATTCTTTCGATAATACATTTTCTTACGTTGCCGTTGAAAAAGGTAAAGTATTTGTTATCTGCCAGGTGCGTAGCCAGCGTTTCGATTAGTTTTAGCCTGGCTGACTTTCGTTTTCACAAATTGTACGCATGACTAGTGCGCACTGACCTCACCAACTCTGAGCTCTTAAGCTTTTTAGCTCACCCCAACAACGTATAATTTATTACAAGAGGTAGAGTAATCAAACCAAACATTTGTAGGCCCGGGCCCCTGTCTGCCTCATACTTGCAGAGTGCCAGCAGTATTTGATTATATTGGGATGCTCCAGTCCCTGCCTAAGCTCTTTTGCTAATTCAACTTCCTTTTTCCAGTCCTCTTCTTTTATCTTCGAAAAGTGCTTTATCAGTCGAACACACGGGTTCTTTTTACTGCCGGACCACGCCACAACAAATCCCTAAAAACAAAATCAAAACTTCAGAAGTAAATTTTCATGAATATTACGTCAGCACAACCTTTAACTTTCTTACAATTTCCAAAAATGAACCTGTTAAAAGTTTCAGACTCTGCTAATTTTGACCAAAAGATAAGGTCTTCATTAAAAGGGAACTTTATTTTTTATTCGTCAGTCATGGAAAAGTTGTTACAAGAGATAGTGGACAACACAAAGTGAAATTGATAATTGTAAAACATTTAGTGCAACTTAGCTTTGATGATAGTGGCATGTTTGTTTGTTTGTTTCTTTTTTACATCACAGTTATTACACTCGACAAGAATTGATAATTCTGACATTGGTAATGTCATTCACTTGGAAAACACTCATGGACAGGCAATAGTGTAGTGTAGTGAGGTGGGTTAATCCCATTTTTGCGGGGTAGTACATTAACATCAACGATGTTTAGGAATTTCATTAAAAATCGGTAGGGGTGGTGGTGGTGGTGTTAGCTGAAACATGTAGTGTTCCTAAAACGAGTTCGCCTTAACCCTATATGCACTATTTGCGTACCCAAAATATATAGACCAGAACGAGGATGCAAAAATTATGGTTCAGTTTTAGGTAACCACTGACATAATAATGCCGATAATATATGAGCATATTCTATTTTCTCTTAACTAATCAAAATAAATATGTGACATCGTCTTTCCAAGAACAGCGAATCATGTCAGACCACACGAATTCATCTCATCAGCCTGTGAAAACGGATGTTTTCGCAGTCTATGATATCATTTGCATTTACGTACTCCTTCACAATTTCACAAGATTTCTGCGCAAGAAAGGGGAATAAAACATCCTTGTTATACTGCTGAAACTATTGGACGACCCAACAATATTTGTTTCAGACGTGCTGATATGCAGTTGAAACGCTTTTGCAATCCTTTCCAAGGATCATCACCCCTTCCCATTAGCGCTCATAGATCAGTCTGCTCTCGTATTTTTCGCCTCCATTTGCCTTTGACGGTCAGCTAAAATTTTCTAGAATCCGCCGTTCCTCTTGGCGAGTCCTTAAAACGTCAATACTACGAAAATTGTCACAATACCTACCACTGACACAGAAGTTTCATCCCAGAATACGTTTGGTATTTCTACCAGCTTCAGATTTGTCTCGGGTCCCTCGCTTTCTTGAATCTTGTCTAGTTGACGGTTCAAACTGTTCGGATTCAAGGACAAGCTCAAACCGGCTACAAGAGTCGTCTGGGACTCACTTGGTACAACAGTGTTTCGGCGCAATATGATGCCTTTGCCTTTTGATACTAACAAAAAGAAATGATGACCAAAGTTCTTCTGTTAATGTTTTAAGAGATGGCACCAGTTTTTTTGGTGGTTGTTTCAAAGACTAATTTTAATAGGTCCTTCCATCCTTTCCTTTTGTGTGAATACACACCCACCATAAAGAAATCGTAATGAACAAGAAGACAAACAGAAAGATAGTTTGTACTTTTAGACCTAGCAATGACGGCAAGGTAAAGGCGCCGCAAGCCAAAGGTCCAAATGGCCAAAGGTTAGACCGGTTTCCTTAGCATGAAGCATGCCAAGGAGTATTGCTACTCCTCCCTGGACAGGATGCTAGTCTATCGCAGGATTATCCCCCAGCAGTATGTCTCGGTACCCATTTATGCATCTGGGTGAAAAGAGAAAATGTGGAGTAAAGTTCCTTGTCTTTGGAAACAACGCGACAGGCGAGGATTGAAGCCCGGACCTCCAGATCCAGAGTTCGAATAAGCGGCAAATGGCGGCAGAAGTTAACATAAAAGGAAAAAGAAGCAATACTTTTCTTCTGCACGTCAACTTGGATGTATGATTTCATGACATTTCGTTCAAATGAATGTGTTAAAGGAATGGCTATAACGTATAACGTTCTATTTTGGGCAACTGAAAACTTGCGCCATTCTTGCTGATTTTCTCTTTCAGCTATTCTCTCATACTCATTATCTCTCTAACAAGCTTCCCCGTGTGGAGCATATTTTTTTAATCATTTTTTTTGGGAGAAGTAACCCTCGGTTATTAATTTCATACCAGTGAATATGTTACTGGAAAATCCAGGGAGCGGGTGAATAGGGGCGATTACGACAAGTATGGTGATATGTACAGCGCTTAAGGAAAGGCGTTTTTAAAGGACGCACGTAATCGTAAGTGAAGTATTTTCCTTTTCATTATGCTTTGACGTTAACATATTTATATTGCGAGATGTGTTTTGTCTTTTTGAGACAATTTGTCCGAGGATTTAGGCAAAACCACTGCACTACCCAAGAATACAAAAAAGTCCACTTCCGGTTGACGTGCGTCGCTCAAAAACACCTTTGCTTAATAAGCTCCCTGATAACACACCTAGGTTTCTCTTCGGCCGCAGCACTGTTCGTTCCAAGACAGAGGTAAGTGTATCAGTATGGTCACCTAATTTTCTTTTGAAAACTGGAGTAGAAAATGTATACAATATTGGATTTAGAGCAGAATTCAGTGGGAGAACAAACACCGCAATCCACACATAGGCTTGTTTCTCAGGATCACGAAACTTGCCAAGCAAGGATAAAAGGCCAATGACAATAACAGGCATCCAACACAAGAAATCAGTTAAAACAATGAACATCATTCTCCAAGCCATTTTCGATTCTCGCTTCATGTTTGTTGACCTGGCCTGTTTTGCAGCACCCTTGACGCTAAAGAGCATAGCTGCATACGCAGTGAGAATATATATAAAAGAGACAAAGTTTAAAATGATGAAAATACCAACAGCATATTCCCAGCCAGCCTGTCTCTCTGTTGAAAGTTGAAGGGGAAGGCAAACAGCTGATTTTCCATAAAATCCAACTTCGCGCTTTTTGTCAAAGAAGTAATCAAACCCTAACGTTGGAATGATTGATATCATTATTCCAAAAATCCATATACCACCCACAACAACATAAGCACATTTGCGGTTTATACGTCGCTTTTTGAACGGGGAAATAACACAAATAAGTCTATCGGTTGTGATAAGGGTCAGCATCAACACAGATACCTCACTTGACGCCATCGAAAGGACCCCCGTAAATGCACATGTCAGCCCCGATCTCCAATCGACATCGTGTTCGAAGTATTCACCTTGCCATTGTACACCTTTGATAGCAATGATAAGCAAATAGACGCCCATTAGTAGATCTGAAATAGCTAGGTTTGTCAGAAGAAATGAATGCACTTTGTTGTTTTCTTTCACAAAAACTCGCATTAAAATAACGAGAAGATTTCCAACAAGAGCATTAATCCCCAATATCCAAACACAAATCTGAACACCTTTATTTTTCATTAAGTCAGAACAGCTAGAAAATTCGGCTTTGGGTGAGATACAGCGAACACCAGTCACTGCTTTTTTGGCATAGCAGCAAAGAATATACTCGTCCAAATGTCTGAAAAGAAGAAAAATATATTTATTTACAAAATCAACTTTGTGACTGTAAGCGAGTATAAAAGTAGTGTAGTTATTAGATATGATATGATTATTTTGACTCGACTAATATTCAGTGAATAGTATGTAAGTAAAGAAAACTACTCCATTACCAGCGGAGATTCGCTATAGCACTTAATCTCAAACTCAGATCAAACGTGTTCGTGGAAAGTTGGGTACTAGAGAGACATAATATAGCGCTACTCCTATTATTTTCCATGCAAAACTAAAAAGAAAAACTCTTACTCGCGGTTGTGAGACTCACATTTCTTTCAGGCTTTTAAGTCCATTGAAAACGTCTTTTCGGAAGTTTTTTATACTCAAGGAGTTATTACTGAGATCCCTAAAAACCAATAAAGAAACATTTGATAACTTTTCAACCGCTAGCTTAATTAACACCTGCTTATAGCCTTTAATATATAATAGTGACAGTATTTTAAAATATCCCTATAAGGGAGTTGCCCTTATCGTTCAAACAGATTTCTCGCGGTGTGCGAGAAACTTCAAGATTTTCTGGTAACTCTACCCTGTTCTTCATCCCTTTTCACTTACAGTTTCTCCAGGGATGATAGCCCTGCAAATGTCTTTGAAGATAACCGCAAGATCTGGTTATCGTTTAGGTATCTGAGATAAAAACAAAGCAAATACTTCTTATCACTTTCATTTTTCATCTTAAGCCACATTTGCACTGACTTCATGTCGTAATTAATACTTGCCCTGGTAAATTTGCAGTTTTTGTGGTCAAAACTTTGAGTTTTAAACATTGGGGAAAAAACTGATATTTGTTTGCCTAGTAAATTGACTGACTTTTTCTCGGCCTAGTTTTGGCGCTTCTCCTGTCAAAAGGGGATACGAAGATAGATTCTTTGAATTCATTGTGTAATCCCAAATTTTATTATCCCACATAAATTAACTGACGTCATTTCATATTACTTCCAGTTGAACATGAACCTTGGTGCAGACATGATCATGTGGATCTTGAAAGCGTAGCTTTTTAGGGAATTTGTACTGAGGCAAAAGACCAACAGAAGCACATTGTTAATAGCCAGGGTTATTCCTTGAATGATATGATAAACTATTGAGATAAATTTTGTTCACCCATCAGAGTAAAGATCACGGAAGGTAATAGATTGATTGCACAATTTTTCGGTAAGGGACGAGGTAACCGCGTTTTTGAACTTACAATATCTTAAGCCTAGATAAGCCAAGGAATACGTAGTCTGGTAACTCTTTCAACTCATTTTCCTGAAGGTATCTACATTGGATTGAAATAAAAGTAAAATGGTTTAAAAATATACACTTGAAATCTGGCAAAACAAATGCAATAATATGTCACTCACAGATTCTGTAAGTTCCTCGTGGAGTTAAATGCGTCCTTTTCAATCCTGCTTATGCGATTCTGTCTGAGGCTCCTTGGAAAAAAAAATATGAGGCAGTAATCAGATAAAATGTCGGTTTTAAGCGAAGAGTGTAATGACCAGTTTTTCGAAGGCTACTTTCGCTTACTTACAAAGTAGTCAAGGACGCCAAAGATGCACTAAATGTGTTCGTCGAAATGGTGTCAATCAAATTAGCGCTGCAGTCCCTTAAAAAAAGTAGGAAAAACCAGATAGTTTTCGAAAATTTGAATTTTATGATCAAATCTTGTAAAAGAAATTTTAAATAACAGATAAAATATATATAAAAGAACTCACAAGGTCTGAAGATGGTACATATTGTCCAACATGCCGATAGGTAAGGCCCGTATGAAATTCGAGTCAAGTTTCCTAAAATGTAAATTTTAATTAATGCTTTGAGACCTGCCAAGAATGGCGATACCATTTCAAAGTAATTGAACTTCTAGAACACTTAAGAACAATTTATTTATTTTCGTGGCTCGAACATTTGTAAAAGCTGTTGATTAACTATTTTTTTTAAGTTTAAAACCAGTTAAGGCTTGGAACATTTATGTAAATTTAGTAATGACATTTTTAAAGCGAAGTTTTTTAAAAAATTGTCTGCTTTCAGTTTGTTACTTACAACGTTTGTAGTACAGAACCATTGCCAAATGCACTTCTTTCAATTTTGAAGATGTGGTTTCCACTCAGGTCCCTGTAAAGATTTTATGACATTTTTTTTTTTTTTACCATACTGATAAACTGTAAAATTAAACTTACTGTTAACTTTTAGGAGTAAGACAGTGTGAATGAAACTTACAAATACTTTAGACTTGACATATCGGAGAGCTTTTTCTTAGGTAGACGAGAAATTTTATTCCTCTGAAACAGTCTGTCGGGACAAAAACGTAACATACAATATTTCGCTTTTTATTCAAAATCAGCATTCGCAATATATATATATTTATTAAAAACTGAATCATTGGATAATGCAATTCTAGCATTTTGATTGGCTTAGCCGTTATGGTATATGAGCTAATATACCATGTTCTCCATATATGGTCGGTGTACGCGTAAGTTTAAAATTGGAAGCTAGCTGAGATTTTTTTTCGCGAAGGATAGAGCGGCGCCCGAAGAGAATCGTTTTAATTCATTTCTTAGAATACTAGAAATGCAATTTCAGCGCAAGAAAAAAGACAAAAACAAACAAAAAAGCCACAAGAGCTTGTCTGAAAGTTTGTCGAAAAACACATGAAAACACATGGAACTAAAGTACCTTGACCAGCTACGAAAGAAGACAAGTGTTGTTTCTTCATGATCGCGAAGCCATTCGCAATCAAGTCACTCGCCAATAGATAACTGCAGCTTGTTTATCCGACATCAAGAATATAAATCACAAGTAACCAGCTACAAATACAGGCTATGCAGCCATTCACTAGAGCAATCGAGGCGGCAGTATAGCTTCTTTTCTCGTTCAGCAAAACCAGCTTGTGGCTTCAAACAACTTCATAACAAGCGACCGAGGTAATACCGGTAGTTTTTCTCCTTTGTTCTTACTTTTATAACTGCACCGAAAATCCAAATTCATAGTAATTTCGACGGCTGTCACTTAAAAACTCCTTTCCTTCACATTATCTGCCAGGTTTTTAAAGCTGTTCTGCTGTGTAAAATCCTAGAATCACGATGAGTTTTTCAAAAACTAATGTTCATCGCTACAATGTTTTGATTTTTCATTCATGCAGTCTAGGCGAGTCCGTTCGCGCGTTGACAGTTTTGATAGACGTGTGACATGTCAATAGCGGAAGTCCCTTGTCTTTTCCGGTTTCTTCTAGTCGGGGCAATTCAACGAGATTTTGTGGGCGTTTTTAATAAAACAATTATTCCACTCGGGCTTGTTGGATATGAAATGATTATAGCCAACTCGGCGCTATGCGCCTCGTTGGCTATCTATCATCTCATATCCAACGCGCCCTCGTGGAATATATATATATATATTTATTTATTATTATTATTATAATAACTATAAAGATTCGTCATTTATTATTATTATTATTAATTATTATTATTATTATTATTATTATTATTATTATTCGTTTTTTATTTTCATTTCAAAGATAAAATTGAGCCAAGCATGTTCTGGGAAAAGTGCGGAAAGACTATCTTAATATGAAATGTAATATAATTTGGAAGAAGGAGAAATCTAACACCATGAAGGTCAGAAAAATTGCTACTTCCAGGTGAGAATCGCTGAACTCACAACACTGCGAGTTATAGTTCGGATACTCTAACCACTGAGCTACAAGAGACTCTATGGCGAGCGGGGCTGAAAAATCATTTCAACTTTACACCAGGGATAAGTGGTGTGTATAAGCGAGCTACTTAATCTCCTGTTGAAGTGTGAATAGCGCTATTCATCGGATAAATGACTATCTAGCGGATAAGTATTAGGGAAACCAATTGCGCTATTGACTGTACTGGATAGAGATTTATCCAGTAAATAGCGTTATCCACCTTTCGAACAACTTGGGCCAGGAGTAATGCATGGAAATTCACAGCCAAATTTTGCAAAATCTTATGATAATTAGTATCCGATATCCACCTCGTTCAGAACTGTGATTTCCTTAGTTTTCTCTTTATAAATTATTAACGAAGTTTAGTGTGAGACTTAACAAGCGTTATAATTTTCAGGTAATCAGCTCACATTACGGCTGCCTTAGAAGGAATGTTTCCTGGGAAAGCAGTCAGTTTCCTTCCCTTCTTCACTGTTATCACCAGCTCAAGACTTTTTCGTGAAATTGGATTACACTCGCAATTTGACGGACAACCTTAAATAGTAAAAAAAAGTGAAAAGTAATTCATTAATTACATTATCATTGTACTAACGTTGTAATTTGTTGTTGTTGTTGTTTCATTTTCTTTCAAAGAGGCCGTTATAACATTTGTTCACCCCCGATGCAGTTTGTTGTGGTCGGCAGTGTATAGTACCCACTTTCTGTTTGTTTTGTTGTTTTTTTTCGATATTGCATGTTTGTTTGTTTGTTTGTTTGTTTGTTTGTTTTCTCAGAGAGAACTTTAAGTCCTAACATGCATATACTTTGAGGAAGGGAAGCGGGTTAAGGAAGAAGGGAAATTTTGCTACTTACCTTCGTATTGGAGACACGCTTCTTCATCAACATCAGCTATATAAGAGAGACACATGCATATGTTCTAAATACAGTGTATTATTTTTTTTAATGACTCTTATAATAAATACTAGTGTTACTAGAACAGGTAACACTTCAGGCCTTGTGGTGCTGCAGTATAATAAGGCAACAGATAGCCCATTATTTGAATATTTTAGGGTTAGCAATAGCCCAGGTACGATATATTAAAATTCTAACATGACTTCGAGGCTTTCTTGTCATATTACTATATTTGGTTTGGTACTAAAGTCTCTTCTGGGGATTGCGAAACCATGGAGTCAAGAAACATTTGCAATTTTGTTCCTAAAGCCTCGGAGTCATGTCAGAATTCTAATATATCGAACGTGGGCTATTCCGGAGAAATATTACGACATTCAAAATGACGCCTCTCGTATGTCGGCCATCTTGGATGTAATATATATTGTGGATTAATTCTGGGAATGCCATCAAACGTTTTGCCATTTTGATAGGATCCATCGTCTTCTTTAAAACATGTTCACACTGCGTTATATCGGAAACCGTGCATGTTTTCTTTAAAGTGACTTGACAGCCAGATGCAAACGCCGACCGCTGATTAGTAGCAGATAAGAGCACTGAAAAGATCTTCACGCGGTTAGCACTAGTTCTCACCCTAGTGGCTGAAGGGATGATGAATCACACTTTGCAGTCACCTAAATGTAATTCCTTACCTGCATAGTGTAGTTTGAAACCTAATCCATTAATTTTGTCATTGCTCACGAAAGTAATCTCCATAGCATTTGAAAATGATTCAATGAAGGCTGGAAATCTTTCTCCGCAATATTTTCCCATAAACGTTTTGGACTTAAGCTCACTATATATCTCTAGGAAGTCGTTAAAGCAGGAAGGATGGTCTTCTAATTGGAATTCTAGGAATCGCAGTTTTATGGTGTTTCCGCGAGGAACATTGATGGTCCACCGGCAACGCGTCAGCGGTGGATAATACCCAGGATGGTGTGGGGATAAAATCATGCCTGACAATGTGGTAAAGCTTCTGTCGCATTCTGAAAAAGATAGTTAATTCATTCAATTCTGACCATACATATCTCCATGACTAGTGCATTTCAGTGTGAGTATTGTCAATGTTTTACATTCAAAAGATGCGATAAATTCAAACTAAAATGTACTAGTCATGGAGGTATGTATAGTGTGCATTAATTTGGAAAAATTAGCGTAACGTCAAAACAGGGAATGTTGTAACGCAGTTTTTTACAGGTTCGTAGGATAGGTTTGTCTTGAAATTTTAAGAAATTGCAGTGAATCAATCTCAATGAAAGTTTCAGATATTCTTATATACATTATGAAGATTGATGCGAAGAGATTTGAAAAAAATTCTTCGAAGTCGTTTCAAAGATTTTTCAAAAAGCGCTACAAGTCCAAATTTTGAATGAGGTTGCACTTTGACAGGTGGTGAGAAAACGGTTAGATCGCGAGAGAACGAGAACGAAAATACATTAAAATTTCCTAGCATCGAGATATGATATTAAGCAGCATTCTGACGCTCTTTAAGATTAATTTGAGTCATTTATAACGTTTTTATGAAGTAATCTATCACGGCTATTGAAAATTTAAGGTTTGAAATATACTTTCGTTTTAGTCGAGTCCAAACACACAGAATTTTTTACTTCTTACGGTAGTTGTTTGCTAAACACCAAACTTTAAGTTCCTAGTGTCGGATTTTCAGTAGCTGGGCTAGGTCCCACAAAATTTGGCTTTTATCAGTTTCAAAGTTTTTTGTTTATTGTTGTCATAGTAATATAGATTTTACTTAAAACTACATTTCCACAAATTTCAATCCATAGCCAATTACTGGTGAAAGTTTTATAGCGATCGGACAAGGAAAAAAACACTCTTAAGGCGATTGAAAAATATTGGTACGACCTCTGGAAAACTGTATCGAAACGTCTTAAAGCAAAAATCTCTATTGAAAATACAACCCCATTATAGTCAATTCAGTAGCGAAAGTGCGACTCCTTCCCCCAGAAAAACCCTATTAGCCTTGGAAGTAACTCCCCATGGCCTGTCTTCTACGCGAATCTTGATATTTTTTTTAAAAAAATCACTTATTTTGTTATAGGTATTTGTTTGGACGGAGCCCAAGACCACTCTCTAGAGAATGGTTTCCATTGGTGGATTCAGTGGTTTCGTGTGGACAGAAGGCCAGTAAGTGTAAAAAAATGTGGTTGTTTAAAAGATATTTGGATCCGCGAGGACGTGGCCTAAGCTAAATAACAGTGCACCTTCAGTTGCCGTAAGGGGCAATGGATGACAGTATCCTGGAACCACGTGAAAACCTCTGACACCAATATAACCAGGTTCGCTGCCAAAATCTGCTTCCATAGATACCTGCAGAAATATTTAGCAATTATTGAATGAGGCTGAGTAGGATGTGAAGAATAGCAGATCAAGAAGGAAGTTATCCACCGAAGCTGAAGTGGATAACATCCTCCAAGACCTACATCATTCTTCACATCATAGGAAAGCCAAATTCAATAATTGTTTTAATATTCATTCAAAATATTTCTAAGTTCTTTACATGCTTACTTCCTCGTAGACTTTCTTCAAAACTTTAGCCAATTTCTCGGCACAGGATGTAAACAGATGTTTTTTCTTGCAGATTCTCCTCAAAATGTAGATAAAATTCATCGAGCAATATGTTTTGCGTATTATTGCATGTCTTGAATTCAGTTTAAATCAGAAGTTCAGCTATTTCGTCTTTGAATAGCGTAAAAGCCATTTTTTTAAGTTCACTTTTGCCCTAGCAGCCTCGTTTCCAATCAAATATACCACCGAATACTCAAGTCGCTTTGTTCTTTGCTGTTTCGTTATTACAGTTAATTGGTCTTTGTTAAAACAGCAAGATTTGGATACCGTCATTATTATAAAAATTTCATGTGATAATACTACACAGAACTGTTTCTTTCAAGTTTTGTCTTATTTTCAGTGTCTTATGTACCAAATTCCTCTAAGACGTTTATTGGGAAAACAAAACATAAAAATTAAAGAGTTTATGTGGTGACTTGTTTTTCATTACCTTGTATTTTGTAACACTCGGAAGTGCCACTCTTCCGTATTTCCAGATCAAGTCAGTGTTGCTTGATTCGTCCACTGCCCACATCAGCCTCCTCTGGTAGTCAGTTAAATTTA